CCCATGAAACTGAACAACTTTCCCCAAGAAACATAGGTCGAAATATGAAAAAGAAATGTAATGTAATCACTAATCACAGAATATACAGGGAGTAACGGAAAGAGTATAACATGCCGAAAGTATGTCAAGGTACTCATGAAACTGAAAAACTTTCCCCATGGAACATGCATGGGTCGAAACATGAAAAGAAAATTGGACATCCCATACAAAATTGTCGATCAGCTAATTGATTTACTATGGAAGGCCCAAATTTCTTTTTTCTTTTCCACCCATGTTCCATGGGGAAAGTTGTTCAGTTTCATGAGTACCTTTCCGTTACTCCCGGTATAAATAGTACTAGGGTAATGTAATGTCAACTTGTATCGGAGGCCCAATTTTTTTTCATATTTCTACCTAGTATGTTCCTTGGGGAAAGTTGTTCCTTATCAATCACCAGCCGGTTCTGAGTTTTTGCTATCGGTCACTAGTAAAATATACCTACCTAGTTTGTTTTGTTAAAATAGTTTATGTTTGGTAACGATGACATTTAAAAAGGTAAAACAGGTTTGAGTTTAGACTAATTCCTATGCCTACCGATACCAGTCTTAAATATTTACATTAGGAAACTATTATTTTTAACTAAACCGGTATTTTTGCTTAGGTACCTACCATAGGCATCTACTAACTAAATTAATGACAGATGCTTCCTTCAAATACACACCTCTAATACGGCCATTCGAATATGCCATATTTGACAGCTGTTAAAATCATGTTCATGCTCATAAGGTCTATTTTTCTTTATAGACATGTCTTCTAATATAGCTTTGTCAGCTGTCAAATATAGCTATTCGAATGGCGGTACTTTACTTAAGGGTACATTTATCACGCCTAAATTCCTTGCTGGGCAGGCAGAGCGTACACGGCCATTTACGTCACGTCCGACAAAAGTTTGAGGGCCATTACAGAAGACTGTGTATTAATTACCACAGTGACAGGTTGTCAGCCTGTCGCCTAAAATTGCAATACACGTCAAGGCTCAAATTCATTAGTCGCCTCTTACGACACCCGTAGAAAAGATACTTTTTTACTCCGGCATCACACAGCAACTTTGCTTCCTTCCACGGGTAGAAATAGGGTGATGCTAATCTAAAGGTGGGCTTAAAAACCAAGCGACAGCGACAACGACGCGCGTCGTTGCCGCTGTCAAATGACTGGTTTGTATGGGTTTGTATGGGGAACCAGAAAAACCGAGCGACGGCGTCGTTGCGGCGCGCCACGACGCCGTCACGTTGACAGCGCGCTGAGAAGCTTAGAGTTTGTATGGGATGCGGTCGGGTTTTTCTACAAGACCGCAGCGACAACGACGCCGTCAAAATTTGACGGCGACAACGACGCGCGTCGTTGTCGCGTCGCTTGGTTTTTAAGCCTATCTTAATAGTAGCTAAAGCGACTAAAATCCTGTTTTACGAAATGATGCAAGTAAGCTATTCAAGTCTCGTGCGAATACGGTCTAAAGTATTGCCCAAGCTTTGTTTAACAGCTAAAGTATGGGCATTTGAATACGCCATATTTGCCAGCTGTCAAACTTATACTAGAAGAGATGTTAATAAAGGAAATAAACCTCATGTCATCGCGTTAACATTGTTTTGACAGTTGTCAAATATAGCCTTTTCAAACAGTCCGACTGTAGTTGGTTCGGTAGTAACTTCCATTGCTTCCAGATCATAATTGGGTAATGAGTACTAACTAACAAGTTGAATGGGCTAACTAACAAGTTGAATGGGCTACTTTTAGAATGACTTTCTGTAAACTCCCTAGTCTGTGCCTCGAGTTCGTCTGAGATTCTCAGTACATTCCAGTAAACGTCAAAATCGTCGTTAATACTGAGTGAGCCATCTGTAAAGAAAGGCTCCTCGTTGTGCTCACGAAAGTTCTTTTTTTTTATAAACAATAAACAATGGGCAAGCACTTGTCCGCAATCTCACCTGATGCTAAGTGACGATGCAGACGATGATGGAACATGCTCACCCAGAAAAGATACCTAACTAAGAAGATAGTTGCCACGAACGTCATAGTACCTATATAACGTCATATATATCTCGGATTGAGTAAAATTGTCTCAGAAGTTCTTGTATCAGATTTTGCTATTTTGATCCTTGATTTTGATATTCTTATACTTTGAGATTTTTGACAGTAGCAACCCTGGCTATGTAACAAGTGACAATCGCGAAAATCCTCGGGTCGAGTGATCCTTCTTAAACTCTCTATACAGGGTGTTAGGGACGGTGTACCGAAAACTTTGCAGGCATGATCAGACCATCAAACTGAACAACTTTTACTATGGAGCCAATGGTAGGAAACGAAAAATATTTTCCAACCTCCCATACTTTACGATCAGCTGACCGACTTTGTATGGGAGGCCCAAATTTTTTTTTCCCGCCATTGGCTCCATAGTAAAAGTTGTTCAGTTTCATGGTCTGAGGACGCCTGGAAAGTTTTCGTTACACCGTCCCTAACAGCCCGTATTCTGTGCCCTAGTCCGCTCATGGTGTCTCGCAAAAGATGACGTAGAGGTTTTGACCTTGGCCGAATATCTGCCAACATGGTCAGGCAGTTGACCTCTGATAGTAGGTATTCCCTAAAAGGGTTGACGTCAGACAGCCGGCCGAATTAAGCTCGATTGTTTTGCAAGAGGTTTTTAGTAAAAAAAAGTTGCGGCGACCTACGACTAAATTCATTGGAAATGTTGATGTCTTTTGAACCGGAAGTTCCGGGATCAATTCTTGGACACGGTAATTTTTTTAGTGCCTCACTGCCTCGTCACACTACGACCGAAAATACGCTACGGAATTCGGCGTATTACGCCAGCAATGTTATTTGCATTACGGATGACCCACTTCAGCTGAAATTCCGTCACCGAAATTACTTCGCCGAATTTCGATCCGAAGTAATTATTGCGTGATTTGTAGGTACCTACGTAATTTCGGCGCTTATAGTGTGTCATCCCCAACCGAAAACGCCGAAAACTGACGGAACGAGCCGCCGAATTTCGGTCGAAACTTTTATTTTCAAGTAGATTCACAAAAAATACTTTTAAAATGTCAAATACAATCAAAATAGGTACATCAACCAAATAGAAAGTCAAATTAGGAATTTAGGCACTCAAGTAGGTAGGTAGGTTCAAATTAGGGAAATAGGTAGGGCGCGTTTACAGGAGGTTCACTAGACCTTATTTAGGCTTTACCTATAGTTGCTACTGTCAAAAATCTCGAAGAATAACAATATCAATACAGCAAAATCTGAAACAAGAACGTCATATGATTCTGAACCATTTTTAATTCAAGAAATAGGGGAGAGTTGGCTATATTGTACCCCCTAATTTCTATCTTGTTTTGCGAGAAAACTATTAACGTTATACTTGTGATGTTTTGCTTTATAGTTAGTTTAGTTAATTAACTCTGATGTACCGGAATGGTTTTTTGAAATAAGTCAGTAGTTTCGTCACAAAATAGTTTACAAAAAAAAGTTGCTATCAGTACGATTTAGAGACCGGTACGTTTATTCGTACCACTAGGTTTTTATATCGTACTTTGAAAATAACAATACAAATTGTAAAAATAAAATATTGTGCAAATTTCTTTAAAAAAAGCTATTAGACAAAGGGACAATGTTGTATTACCATCTCCACACTTTAAACAATTAACCACACCTCTCAGATCAGAGATCCATTATGTTAGGATTAGAACCGATATATCTTTGTAACAATCCTTTGGTACGATGTAGAAACTACGGATCGGTACGATTTTAAGAACAAGCTATATTTTACAAAAAGTATTTTTCATTTCAAAACCTCATATGATTGCGTTGGTTCATTAAGTTAAGTCAAAAGGAAAATAACCAAGGAACAATCTGATTAAATTGCAATTTTTAATAGCTTGCCGTTCTTTTGTAAAACCTTAGGTTCTACACCTAAAAAACAGTAACGGGGTCAACTGAAACCTGTTTTATTTTATTGAATTTATAGTTTCATTTGTAGTGCTGTCACAAACCGACATAGTTTTTTGGGTGTTGTGAACTATCATGTAATGTTGCCAAAGTAAATAAAAACGTACGTTTAGTGGAAAATATGTGGGTGGTACGATTAATCTACAGGTACAATATGTCCAACTCTCCCCTATGACGTTCGTGGCAACCATCCCTTTAGTTACCTTGATTCCTCTGAGATTCCAGTTATCCACATAAAGTCAGTAGATAAGCGTCAAAATCGTCGCTAGTACTGAGTGAGCCATCTGTAAAGGCGCCCCGCGCGTCGTCTCCCTAAGTTGTGGTAGTAGGTAGGTAGTAGTAGTCTAGTAATTTGTAATTCAAAAGACGAAATGTCACTTTCATATGTTATTGTAAGTAGGTAGATTGATAAGGAATTTTCAAAATAATAAATAATCCGTTCAAAAATCTTTATTGTATGCTAATAAATGGCATTGCTTGTACATTGCTCTGAAAAAATCTACATATTTGTTTGTTTACCTATTATTTATTTATGATTTATTGGTTTATCATTTTGTTTTTTACCCGACTGCCTCAGAAGGAGGGTTATGTTTTTCGCGACTATGTATGTATGTAGGTATGTATGTATGTGGACAAGAAAATTCTTTTTCACGGGCTACAACAGCCCAAACGGATAGTTGGATTTTGACATAAGAGGTGTCGTTAGATTCGTCTCAACAGCGCAAGTGTGACTGGTTATATTAAAAATTCATAAATTAAAGATGGCGGTTTTTTATCCCAAAATACAACTTTAAAGTGACCGCAGTCGGGTTTTTGTTTTTTATTACATCTATTTGTTGTGATGCGTAAGGCATGCGTTGGGACAAAACGAATTCGTGTAGGATTGGGATTTTTAATCCTTTAGGGCTAAAAGTCGATTTCTTAAAATGTTGAATTCCTAAAATGTAATGCCCTCATAGTGCTAAGTTTAAGTATTATTCTCATAAATTAAAAAGAAGAAAATAGAATAATTCATTAGCGATCGCCGGGGCTTGACCCGGGACCGTGGGGCTCCGTTCCACTGCTCTGCCAACTGAGCTACGGGCGCCTGGCTGACCCTGATGAATTTTTCAACTTCAAAAAGTCATCACAGGACAGACAGCGAAGTCTCAATAAGACGTTTCAGTTTTCACTCTTTCACTCTTTGAGTACCTAGGGCACCCTAAAACGGCCATTTACACCACGTCTGACAACAGTTTGAGAGTCATTCAGAGGACTGTGTATCACCATAGCAACAGGTTGTCACTTTATCGCCTAAAATAGTAATACACATCAACTCTAAAATCTCGTAGTCGCTTCTTACGACACTCACAAATATATTATATGGGTTGATGCTATTCTAAGCCGGCACCACACAGCAAACATATTTTCTATCTACCCTCATTTTGTTTTTACGTCGCTGTTGCCGATAACTTACGTTAACCGAGTAGCGTTAATTATTGTTAAACACAAGTTTAGGTTCCTATTGTAATATTTAATTATTCTAATTAGTTAAATCGAACACAATACGCACTTATTTTCATTCTGGAAAATTTGAAAAACATAAGAAAACTTACCTCAACCGTCATTTTGACAAAAATAATTTAAAATCCACCTCAAAAGTCACTAGCACTTTTAAAAACGTAAAGTTCTTTCAGAATAAAATTTCTTTTTAAATGTTCTTATTTCAAAATTAACTTTTTAAATTCAAATTTACGCGGGTCACGTATGTGTCGAAGTAACTTGCGCGGGAGACTGACAGAAGCCGTGATAACTTGCAGTTGGGTTGCCAGACGCTACCGGAAAGAATTGTGCGTAAATGGAATATCCAATTAAAAGGTCTTTGATTTCGAATTAACACTGATGTGCAACAGAGAAATATCTGATGACGGTGTTGGTTTGATTTCCGGTTTGGAAGTTGGCACGGAAATAAAACAGATTGATATGCGATTTAGAAATTAGATTAAAAAACTGCAATGTCACTAATGAAAAATTACTACAACAAACACTACCCAAGCAAGAGGGGTAGACCCATGTCCTGAAATCTAGAAATGGATTTTTGTGGCTGTTAATGAAAAATGGCCCTGAATGGAAAGCTACACGAGAATCAATACACAATTTAATACATATAACTTGCGCAGAATGGATTCCGAATTAGCAATAGGTAGGTATTATTGTTGACATCCTGCTCATATGTCATATAATATGATAGAGAGGCAAACGTTATAAAATCCAGTCAAAAATCAAACGTTGGTAAAACACCTATTAGAGGTAATATTTACCTAATACTATAATGTTATCTTTAGGTACTGTGCGTGCACAGGTACTGTGTAAAGGATTGCACACCCCTCGCAGATTTACAAAGTCCTTATTATTTATTAATTTATTAACTTTTCGTCTAAAATGCGTTTACCAGCCTAACGTTCATTGGCCATCAATCACTAGGTACCTACTTGTCTACCTCAATTTTATTAAGAACGTACCTCATAATAAATCCACACGATGCCATTAGATTGCCCACCAAATAGGCGCCCGGTAAATCCCCCGTAAATTCGACAAATCTTCGTGTGTCTGGCAAACCAGCGGCGGTTTGCATCGTAATATTCAGGTAGAATAAATCAATATCCACACTATGCCAGCAGATTTCTTTTTAAGTACGCGACTGATTATTCCCACTCAAGCTGGATAAATCTTTGTCTGTCTGGCAACCCAGTGGTGGTCTGCGTCGTCGCGATTTCATAAGCGCGCGCGCAGGCCGTACGTGACGTTAAGGTAAGCATTATGTGACGTGTTTAGACCCTTATTGAGACGATTTTGATGATGTTGATTCAAACAAGATTCAAACACTGTACTCGTTTCACTTATTTTTTATTTTTGTCCCAACCGGTTTCGCTTAAATATGCATCTTCAGGGGGCAAATACAAAAACATCGAAAACAGCTCGATACATTTGATGATAGTGCAATAATCGTTAATGTTAGAATGTAAACCTTATTGACACGGTTTCACACGGTAAAAATGGCTTCGCTTGCGCTCAGCAGTGAGGAAACTTCATACATACGCTCGAAACAGACGCACAACGCCGCTTACAAGGAAACTGATCCAGTTTCACCCCAGTGAAATGTTCCCCGAATGCTCGTGGGAGGGGAATACGGAAAAAAACCGTGGTAATAAGTAGCCTTTGTTACTCACAGGGAGAACACAGTTTATAAACGGTGAAAGATTTTTTAAAGTTATTCCAATTTTATATTTTTATAACCGAAAGTGACAATCCTTGCAATTAAATAGAAACTGGTTGAGTTTCTTTACTGTTGCATCTATATACTGTGCCGGTGTGTTGTTTATTAGAGAATTAATTGTTCTTATTCTTGTATTCACATCTTCTTCTTTTCGTGTGGGACACCGAGTCAGCCAATTTGTTCCCAGTCTGGTTAGGACATTGCAGACTGAACCATCTGATTGTCCGAAAGCAAGATGGTTCCGTGCTTCGGAGAGCACGTTAAGCCGTCGGGTCCGGTGGCTGTCTATGTTTACTCAGCTATGGCGGTCGCTACACAACCATATCAGAGGTCTGCTACTTGTAAAACTCGGAACACCACGGTTCATCGGGTCGTTGGATGACACGGTGTCCCACTCGAAAATGAAGGCGTGAGACCCGCCTGCCGCCTCAATTGACATTAAAATGGTCTAATTTATGTTGTAACACTATGTTCAATGTATGAATCGGGGTAGCTTTTCTGTCTATGCCGATTTTAGTTCGTATGGAAATCTTCTCTGACGTTGAGCCTTAAGAGGAAACAACGTCATAAGATATTATTATTTATTCCGTGGTTGGTCATGCATACGAAAAATTGCACTTAAATCGACTTAAAAATATATGAATAGCAAAGTAATTTATTCAAATTATGAAATGATGAAGGCACACGTAAATTTATTGCAATACTACTAATAGTTAAAAGATAATACCTAAGTATTTTCTGCACCATACAATCAAACATATTATTATTTATTGCAGCAGTAGCTCAATCTTTTTTTTTTAAAGTTGCGAATGGGTTTTACGGGGAAATCTGACGACTAAAAAATTATTTTTCGAATTTTGCGAAAATTTTATACCTATAGGTAACTACGGTACCTACCTACTCTCCATCACGTTTTTAATCAGACTTTTGTCTTCTTTACAAACATAAGTCCATTCAACTTTTGTATGGAAAACGGAACGCCTTAAAAATTAAATTCGCAATGAATTTGTGTGTAGACACACTACAACCGAAATTACGCGACCGAAAGGACCTGACTTCCGTTCCGTCAGTTTTCGGCGTTTTCGGTTGGGTTGGTTGGTAAGCGCCGAAATTACGTACAAATCACTGCGAATTACTTCGGGCCGAATTTCGGCGACGGAATTTCGGCTGAAGTGTGTCATCCGTAAGTAGTAATGCAAATAACATTGCTGGCGTAATTGCGCCGAATTCCGTCGCGTAATTTCGGTCGTTATGTGTCGAGACACTTAGAACAACGTCCGTTTTTTCGTCGCTTAAAAAACCTGTTTAAAAGCCTACTAATTTTGTGATGGGTAAAAAATTACTGACGTGACGGTCAGGTTAGACAAAAATAACAACATTACTAATTTGATAGCAATACCGGTTTAAATATAACACGTGAACGATCCGAAACGTGATACCACAAAAAAATATTTACGATTTCACAAAAAATATTGTGAGTACACAAAAAAATGTTTTGCGATTTCTTAAAAAATGATATTGTAATTTCACAAAAAATGATTTTGGTGATCGATCGCACAAAAAATATTAGTTTTAAGTGTGGTGTGCCGAATGATGCCGGCTTAGAATAGCACTACCCCAGTTCTACACGTGGTGGGTGTAGTATAGTAAGTGAATTTTAATGTTTTGTTAGAAAAAGGTAGGGCATCTTTGACTTTATGACATTGACATACATATGTAGGTACATCCTGGTGACAGACAGACGGACAGCGAAGTCTCAGTAATAAGGATCCGTTTTCACCCTTTTTACTTAGGGCACCATAAAATATAAGTATGTAAGAGACAAAATTAAATAGTTTCAAGTTTTTAATTTTATTTTTAGATTAAGTAGTGTTAGTTTTTTATTTTATCGGAACAACAAGTTCCGGTGTTTGTTTGTAAATAAAGTATTTTTAGTTTTTACGACTCCAAACATGCCCCGAATCGAATTTTATATTTACCTTAATCGCTTTTTGTCCTAATTTGGGGGAATTGCGGTTTGCAATCAGCATCAGGTGTTATTTTAAGACAATCTGATGACGTGTGGGTTTTTAGAGCCTAAACTCAGGTCAGTGACTACGGCGACATACACATGTAACGTCTGTTGGTGCGTTATTTTAGCGCTGCGTATTGCATGCGTTGGGACAATACGAATTTTAAATCGCTTATTTACCCTATCGCGAACTAGTACGTGTGAAAGTAATCGCGAGTGCTTAAAAAGTTATAATACGAATTTTGACCTTATTCTCTTAGTGCCTCGACAAACTACGACCGAAATTCGGCGGCTGAATTCCGTTCCGTCAGTTTTCGGCGTTTTCGGTTGGGATGACACACTACAAGTGCCGAAATGACGTTAAGATCACGCCGAATTAATTCAGACCGAAATTCGGCGACGTAATTTAGGTGAAGGAATTTCGGCTGAAGTGTGTCATCCGTAATGCAAATAACATTGCTGGCGTAATTGCGCCGAATTCCGTTACGTAATTTCGGTCGTAGTGTGATGTGATGACTGACGAGGCAGTAACTATTAAATGGTTTACTTCAAACGGTTTGTTTGACAGACGCAAACGTCGACGCTGCGTTGTGCGATTTTTTTGCGCTAGGGGATGCGACTGTCAAACCATTTATCATACATAAATCATCAACCGTATCTGTGTGAGATTAAAGTGGAAAATCGTATTTTTCCAACGCAACGGATACCGCTGCACAAAGATAACGCACTAACGGACGTTACGTGTGTAAGCCTACATGTGACGTCATTTGCCTAATTGACCCCCCCCCCCCCTCCCCCAACGTGTTTGCAGGCTCGTGAG